TAGTAAGTATGAGCTACTTTCCGAGGTCACCCTTGCATCCTGGCCCCGTTCGGCCCATCCTCGGCCGCCTTCGCTGGCCGCGCCCCGCTCGCACGGTGTCGGCATGGCCCTCCAAGGCCCTTGCATCCTCCTCCTCCTCCTCCTCCTCTCCTCCTCCTCCTCCTCCTCCTCCTCCTCCTCCTCCTCCTCCTCCTCCCTCCTCCCTCCTCCTCCCCATCCTCCTCCTCCTCCGCCTCCGCCTCCTCCTCTTCTCCTCCTCCTCCTCATCCCTCCTCCTCCTCCTCCTCCTCCTCCTCCTCCTCCTCCTCCTCCTCCTCCTCGTGCGTCCTGATTGCACGGGCTGGCCGTGAAGCCTTCACCGTAGTCCGTGCTTCACCCTCGCTACCTGTCCCCACGGACACGCGGGCGGGGATCGGCCCCTCGGGCAACCCTTCCCTCACACGGCCTCCCAGTCGCGGCGCCGTGCACTTATGCCCCTCGAGAGCACTGCCATGACATGCCACAGCAGACAGCAGCAATACAACGAGTGAAGTGGCCTGTGATAATACAACAGCATGCGTTGGAATATGCTCATCTTTCGTCTGGCTCTCGCTGTGGTGGCGCCGCTCGGCCGCGGGAGGCCACCCGAGGAGAGAGGCCCAGACCTGGACCCTCGTGACCGCAGGCCTCTCTTGTCCTCCTCGGCCCCTCGACGGGGGCCCCTGCCGGGCCTCGGGGCCGTCAAGAAGAGGGCTCGGGACTCGAAACTGGTCCCGGGGAAGTGGTCCCGAGCCCCCGGCGTCCTGATTCTTTCAGGAGGAGGAGGAGGAGGAGGAGGAGGAGGAGGAAAAGGAGGGGGGATGCATCGGCACGACTCTCCAGCCGCCCGTTGTGGGCCCCGCGTGAAGAAGAGGAGGAGGAAGAAGAAGGAGGAGGAGGAGGAGGAGGAGGAGGGGGAGGAGGGTGGAGGAGGGGGAGGAGGAGGGAGGAGGAGGAGGAGAGGAGGAGGAGGAGGAGGAGGAGGAGGAGGAGGAGGAGGAGGAGGGAGGAGGAGGAGGAGGAGGGGGAGGAGGAGGGGAGGAGAGGAGGAGAGAGGAGGAGGAGGAGGAGGAGGAGGAGGAAGGGGAGGAGGAGAGGAGGAGGAGGAGGAAGGAGGGGGGGATCGGCACGACTCTCCAGCCGCCCGTTGTGGGCCCTGCGTGGAGAAGAGGAGGAAGAAGAAGAAGAAGAAGGAGAAGGAGGAGGAGGAGGAGGGGAGGAGGAGGGGGAGGAGGGGGAGGAGGGGAGGAGGAGGAGGAGGAGGAGGACACAGCGTCGACCCTCAGAGGTCTCGACCCCTTCCCCGGGACCACCTCTTCGGCCGGAAGCGTCTTCGGACGATGCCCCGGCGGCCCGGCGACGGCACCCCGAGGCCGAACATTTAGAACAACCTCCATCCCCATAAATAGTCCTCCTCCTCCTCCTCCTCCTCCTCCTCCTCCTCATCCTCATCCTCCCCAGACCCCCTCGCGTTGTGAAAAAATCACGACGTGAGGTTTTCCGCTATTTTCGGCCTCGGGGTGCCCCTACCGGGCTTCGGGAGCGTCAAAAAACGACTCAGGATGACAAACCGGTCCTGGGGAAGGGGTCGAGAACTCTGGGGTCGACGTAATGAAAAAATCATTACGTCGGGGGTCTGGGTAGGATTCTTAATACATGATTGAAAAAAGTCATTACGTCGGGGTGCCCCTACCGGGCCTCGGGACCGTCAAACATTGACTTAGGATGCAAAGCCGGTCCCGGGGAAGGGGTCCAGATCTCTGGGGGTCGACGTCATGAAAAAATCATGACGTCGGGGGTCTGGGTCTCTGGGGCCCAGGATCGGGCTGGACGAAAGGGGGGGATTGGGAAAGGGGGGGTTACGAAATCTGCTGCATGCAGCCAGTTTCGGCCCCGCCGCCGGGCCCATTCCTCGATATACATGGGCGCCTTCCGGCGCCGGCAGGCGCCGGGAAGATCAGCTATACGTGAGCCGATTCTCAAACCCCCCCTTTGCTAGCCCCCCCTTTCGCCCGGCCCGAAAGGACCGCCGGGGGAACACGCCGTGACCAAAGTTGCATCGTCGGGGGTCTGGGGAGGCCGAAAATTGCGAAAAACCTCCGCCTTGATTCTTGTTCAATGCGTTGGATCCCAGAGGCCGAGAATTTAGAAAAACCTCCATCTCTGGGGCCCAGGACCGCCGGGGGAAGACGCCGTGACGCAAACCGCATCGTCGGGGGCCTGGGGAGGCCGCGCTTTGGGGCGGCTCCTGGCCGGGCCCCGTGAGCCGGGGAGCCCCTCTCGAGGTCCGCTCGGCCTCGCTTCGGCAGCGCTCCGGGCCCGCCTGGCCCGGCTCCAGTGTTCCCAGACCCCCTCGGGTAATGAAAACATCATGACGGGATGTTTTTCCTCGTTTTCGGCCTCCAGGGGCCCTCACCGGGCCTCGGGACCGTCAAAAAATTACTCAGGATGAGAAACCGGTCCCGGGGAAGGGGTCGAGACCTCTGGGGGTCGACGTATTGACAAATTCATGACGTCGGGAGTCTGGGTTCACCACCCACCAAACCACCCCAACCCAACCCGAAGGCCTGAATTTGCCCTCCGTTTCCAGTGGGGGGGGGCTCGGGGAACATCGGAAAAAAACACGTGTGGAGCCCATCCCCCCCCAGCCCGAAATTCGGATCTTCGGGTTGGGTTGGGGTGGTCTGGTAGGTAGTCAGGTGTTCCGACGATTCGGTGCCGCCCGGTGCTCGCATGGGGGTGCTGTGCATCTGGGCGCAGCTGGTCCAAGTCGACTGCGGCTCTGTGCTGGTGCGGCCCGATGCCGCATGCGGTGCCGAGGTCACGACCCGACATGCCGACTCAAATCCGATGTCACGATCCGACGCCGACCGATCCCTGCAAGCGAGCGGGGCCGCAGCCTCTTGGCCCAAGCGGCGGCCGTTCCTCGGAGAAGACACGGCTGCGTAAGCACAGGCTGCCGAAGCTCCGCGCGGACTTCTTGCGTCGCCACGGGGCCCCCGTCCGCGGCGCGCGGAGCGCGCCAGGGGCGGCGCTGGAGGCGCTGCCAGGCGGGTCCAGCGCCGATCCAAGAAAGCCGGCGCGAGCCTTCGAGAGTCGAGGTCCCCCGCGGCGGGCGCAGGGGCACTCGCGCCCCCCGCGCGCCGCGGGCCCGGACCAGAGCCGCTGCCATTCGCCACCGCCCACCAGCCACCAAAGCACCTCACCCCAACCCGAAGGCTCCCAAGTTTGCCCTCCATTTCCAGTTGGGGGGGGGCGTCGGGGAACATTGACAAAAACACGTGTGGAGCCCGTACCCCCCCAACCCGAAATTTGGGTCTTCGGGTGAGGTGGGGTGCTTTGGTATCGGCGTCATCCCAACACACTTGTACTATATGTGCGTCGCCCCCCCCAGGGGCGACGCGCGCACCGAGAAATCTTCTAGTATCTGCGTCGTGGCGGGCGCTTTCTGGCCACAACGCTCGGGAAAGGATATACTACAAGATGGGTATACCTATACGACCACCCATCGGGGGATAAGGAGGCTGTGGGGGGGGGAGAGGGGGGGAACCAACATCTGGCTCAATCGATCTCACTATCGATCTCACTATCGATCTCATTATTGATTTTTCCCTACCTAGGCTCTGCCTAGAAGGATTCTTACTGTCTTGGCTTAAAAGGGCCGGGCAGTGTAAACCGCCCCGGGCGGTTCCCCCGGTCCCCTGGGAGCCAAGCGAAAGCAACAGCAAAGGTAAACGCAAACGTGCGGTTCCCCCAGTTGCGCTCCCTGGGTGCCAAGCAAAAGCAAACGCAGAGGCAAAAGTGAAGGCAAAAACGAATGCAAAGGAACAGCATAGCATAGCATAGCATAGCATAGCATAGCATAGCATAGCATAGCATAGCATAGCATAGCATAGCATAGCATAGCATAGCATAGCATCGCGCAGCATAGCATCGCGCAGCATAGCATAGCGCAGCATAGCATTGCATAGCATAGCCTAGCCTAGCCTAGCCTAGCCTAGCCTAGCCCAGTGGCTCCAACTCCTAGGTAGGGTCACACTGGGATAAGATTATCAAGCCGACCTCCGACTATATGCCCGGGTCGGACGCTCGCCTCCAAGGAGGACATCTAGCATCAGCATGCCCCTGTGCGTCCCATGGTGGGTGGTCAGCCGCGGGGGGGGGGGGGGGGGGGGGCGCGAGGGCGCGAGGGCGCAAGGGCGCGAGGGCGCGAGGGTGACCCCCGCGCGTCGCGCACCGCGGGGCGCGAGGCGCGGCGTCGGGCGGGCCCCCGGGAGGCGCTGCGGCCCGGGCGCCTCCTGCATAGCTGGGGCCCAGGCGTGCTCGCGTCTTATGTGCATCACAGTGAGGGCGCTTTTTTGGGCGGGGGGGGGGAGCTCGCGTGTTATGCATCACAGTGAGGCTTCGGGGGGGGTGGCTTTCGGCCCCGGCCGGGGGGCCCTCGCCGGGCCTCGGGACCGTCAAGAAGCGACGCAGGATGGAGAGCCCGTCCAGGGAAAAGGGCCGGGGCTTCCCGGGGCCCCGTATGGAAGACATCAGGGCGCCGCACGGCTGGGAGTGTCGCTGCGCCGGTCTTGGCCCGTCACGCTTCGGCGCGACGCGGTGTGGACTTGCCTGGTTCCCGCGCGTACACGTCCTCAGCTGTTCCCAGCCTCCCACACCCCGCGGAGCGGAGCGACGTGCTATCCGCTCGCAAGGCACAGCGTGTCGCCAGGGCCGCCGCCGCGACACGCCAACCCAGAGATCCGACGCCGTGACTTTTCCAACACGGGGTCCCCGGAAGCCTCGGCCGCTTCCCCGGGACCGGCTCTTCCTCCTGCATCGCTCCTTGACGGCCCCAGGGCCCTGCGAGGGCCCCCAGAGGCCGATTTTTTTGTTAATATATAAAAGAATGTCCAGACTTTTTCGATGTACGCTGGATCCCTGGGAGGCAGGAGCCTTCGACCGCGGACCGGCGCGGCGGTGTCTTCTTCCGGCCCTCCCGCCCGCCGAGCGGGCCCGCGCTGCGCGTCCACGGGGAGGCCGCGGGCAGGAGGCCCCCCATGCCGCCGCAGAAGAGCGCGGGCGATGGGCAGGCTCCCGGGCAACGCCGGGGGGGGGAGGAGGGGGAGGAGGGGGAGGACGGGGAGGAGGGGGAGGAGGAGGGGGAGGAGGAGGAGGAGGGGGAGGAGGAGGAGGAGGAGGAGGAGGAGGAGGGGCTCAGTTGAGGACCCAGACATGACGGCGTCGTAACAAGAATCCGGACGGGAGGTTTTTGACTATTCTCGGCCCCGGGTTGGCCCTCGCCGGGCCTCGGGACAGGACCGTCAGAAAACGATTGGGGACGAAACGCCGGTCCAGGGAAAGGGTCGGGATTTCCAGGGACGGTGTCCTGAAAAATTCAGGACGTCGCCTGTCTGGGGAGAGAAAGAAGGACGTGCACGTACATGAGTCCGTGTTGGTTTCGAAAGTACGCCTCGCGCGCGAATGTTCGTATCACGCGGCCGGTCTCGCGGATCGAGAAGCCAGGTTCATGTGCATGGCTGGGCGCGTACGTCCTTTGCGGGCTCCCTACACTTCGGGGGGGGGCGCATCGACTCTCAAGGGTCGATCGAAGAAGAACACAAATCACGTACGGTACCGTTTTTAATGCATGCTCCGCGTGCGGATCATGTATCAAGAATCCTATGTATCAAAAACTGGACTGTAAGCATAAACTTTTGGCGCTCCGCGCGGACTTCCCAGATCCCCGACGTCATGAATTTTTCATGGCGTCGACCCCCAGCGGTCTGGACCCATCCCCCGGGACCGGTTTTTCGTCCTGAGTCGTTTTCTGACGGTCCCGAGGGCCGGTAAGGCCCCCCAGAGGCCGAAAAATATGAAAAACCTCCCGTCGTGATTTTTTCATAACTCGAGGGGGTCTGGGAAAACTGCCCTGTAAGCAAAAACTTTGGCGCTCCGCGCGGACTTCTTGGATCCGCGCTGGGCCCCCTCCTGGCGGCGCCTGGCGGCGCCGCCCCTGGCGCGCTCCGCGCGCCGGAGTGGGAGGCCCCCGCGCGGATCCCAGACATCCGCGCGGAGCGCCAACGGTTTGTGGTTGTGTGCCTTTTTCTCATTTTCGTCGAGGTTGAAGGTCCCCAGAGATCCAACGCATGGAAAGAATTACCACGGAGGTTCTTCGCAAGTTTCGGTCCCTGGGGGCCCTCGCCGGGCCTCGGGACCGTCAAAAAACGGCTCACGATGAAAAACCGGTCCCGGGGAATGGATCGAGGCTTCCGGGGACCCCGTGTCGAAAAAATCACGACATCGGATCTTTGGGTCCAAGGCTTTCGGGCGTGGACCGCCTTTGTGCCAGGCAGCTCGGGGGCCACGTGGTGGGTGGGTGGGTGGGTGGGGGATAAGGTTTGGTCGGGCGTGTCCCCCTACAGGGGGATGTTCGACGACAAGTAAAAACTACCCAAAGAATGCCCCCCAAAGGGGGGGGATAAGGTTAGGTCGGGCGTGTCCCCCGGGGGATGTTCGACGAGAAATAAGAACTACCCCCCAAAAATACCCCCCAAAGGGTAACGAAATGCTCAAAAAACAGTCCCCAGACCATCTTTGGCTTATTTTTAGGATATTTTCTATTTTTCGTCGAAAATCCCCCTGTAGGGGGACGGGCCCGACTTCAGGAGAAAGCTCCGGGGGGGAACTCCTCGACCCCCCCCCCGAATGCGCCCACGCGCGGCCCACCCCGCCCATGGGACCGTGCGGCCTTCCTTGCCGCCGGGGGGACACGCCGCCGCTCCACATGGGCGGTGCCCTGCCCGCTCCCGGACGATGCCCCCCGCCCCGGAGCCGGTGCCCACCTCGGAGGCTCCCCCTCAAGACCCAGAGATCCAACGCATTGAAAAAAACACGACGTAGGTTTTTCATATTTTTCGGCCTCGAGGAGCCCTCGCCGGGCCCCGGGACCGTCCAAAAACGACTCAGGATGAAAAGCCGGTCCTGGGGAAGGGGTCCAGACCTCTGGGGGTCGCGTCGTGAAAAAATCACGACGTCGGGGGTCTGGGCCTCAAGAGGTGGCTTTCCACGCGGCCTTCACGGCGCCGAACGGTCCGCTCTCGTTTGTGAGCGCCGAGTCGGCGTGCTGCGTCGTCGGCGCGAGCGTCTGCCTGTGGAACCTGCGGACCGGCGAGAAGGACTCGGGGGGACGCCAGTCGACCCCCGCACCACAGACATGCGACGTCCCGGTTCTTTCAAAATGCGCGGCCCCCGGAAGGCCCGACCCTTTCCCTGGGACCGGTTTTTCATCCTGCGTCGCTTCTTGGGGGTCCCGGGGCCCGGCGAGGGCCCCGAGGGGCCGAAAACGTTGAAGTGCCCGCCCGTCCTGAGTTCTGGGGAAGCAGGGCTGGCCCGCCCGCCTCGCGCCCGCCCGCCCGCTCACGACGTCTGCACGTCTCGGGCCAGGCCCCGCCCGGGCCCCTCCGGGGCTCGCGGCCGGTGCCCGCGCTCTCCTGGCCATGGCTTTCTGGGGAGGCGTGCCCTATAGGCCCCCCTTCGTGGTGACTGCTCGCGACGTGGGCCCGCGGGGGGCCGGGCCTCGTCCCCCAGGACTCCAGTCGCGCGCAGAAGGGGGTAGGGGGAGGGGGGAAGGCTTCTTAGAAGCACCCCTGCTTCTTAGAAGGCGCGGGCCTTGTCTATAGATGTAAGGCCGGCGCCTTCTAAGAAGCAGCCTCCTTCTAAGAAGCCCTCCCCCCTCCCTCCACCCCCTTGTGCGCGTCCCCCAGGACCTCGGGGTGTTGCTACAGAAGTGCCCCTGGCCCGAGGTGCCCCCCAGGAGTTCCTTGGGAGGCCCCCGCGGCCTCCCGAGCTCCCCGCACGAGGTCCAGTGGGCTCCGGAGTGGAGCGACGAGCTGTGCTTTTTTGGCAGCGGCCTTTCATCCCGAGTCGCTCTCCCCAGACCCCCTCGAGTAATGAAAAAATCACGACGGGAGGTTTTTCGCCATTTTCGGCCTCCGGGGGCCCTTACCGGGCCTCGGGAGCGTCAAAAAACGACTCAGGATGACAAACCGGTCCTGGGGAAGGGGTCGAGAACTCTGGAGTCGACGTAATGAAAAAATCATTACGTCGGGGGTCTGGGTCCGACGGTCCTGGGGGCCCCCTGCGGCCCCAAATGGGCAAGACCCTGCCGTCGTGGCCTTCTTCGTGACGAGAGGAGGTGGGGGTATGAACCGATCCCGGGCCCAGGACGGGCCTGGCCGGGATCGGCGAGGCGGCCAGTGGATCCGGTGAGGAATGAGCTCTTTCCAACCTGGCACGTGTGGTCCTCGAGGACTCGAAGCTACGTTGCTCGGCTGAGCCCTCTGGGCCAACCTGCTGTGGAAGGTACAAGCGCACAGCCTGTCGTAGCGGCGCCCCGTGGCCGCGGATTCATTGTCGCCACGGCGTTCCGCGGCTCTCGTTGCCGTATCCTTAATTTCACTCGAGCATCTCATTAAGAAACCTCCTGTCGGAAAGCTGGGCAAGCGTTTCTTCACCAACATGTGGGAAAGCTGACCCGGTTCCTGGAGCAATACAGCTCCTCCAGCGTTACCAACACACATTGGCCCAGGTGTGTTTGAAGCAGCTTCCTTCTGTCCCCCCCTCTTTGTTAATTCAAGCTTCGCGCGGCCCGCTTAGCTTCGACCGGAAGAGGTGCGCTCTCGACCCGCGAATCAAAAAAGTGTTTGAAGCATTTTCCAGGAAGTTGGCCCAGATTTCTTACATGATCAGTTTCTTAAATATTACTTTCGGCTGAATGCCAATCGGGCTGCTGGGCCCGATGGGCCTCGTCAGGGTTGGTGAGGCGGTCAGTGGACGTCCCCGGAAGGACTACCTGTACACCACCGCGTACAGCATCACGAAGGTGTGCGGCAACCCGGCGAGGAGTTTGCTGGCGTTCTGCGAGGGGGGCACGTCTCCGCAGGTGTTCGTCTATTCGGTGAAGCCGAAGCCCAAGCTGCTGTACACCCTGTCGGACGTGACGGAGCTCAGGCGAGGAAAAGGTACTGATGACGATCAAGATTGTTTGCACCGGGCGTTCTTGTCTAGCTTCAGGCCCTGGGAGCATCATAGACCGGTCCGACTCGACAAATACGACAGCAAGATGGGGTCTAGGGTTTCAGTCGTGATTTTCGGTGGTGTTGCCAGTTTTGCGCAGCGTGGATCTGAGGGACGGTGCCGATGCCGCTACCTTTCCCTTGTCTTCGCCTTTTTGGGCCTCCCGGGAGGCCATCGTCGTCACGGCTGCATTCGCTTCGGATGTCTTGTCAGAAAGCACCCCAGGAGAGGTCTGGGGAGTAGCAGTGGAGCTCGAGGCTCGAGGAACAAAACAAGTGCATGAGCATGATCTTCCAAAGGGCCGCGCGGACCTCCAAAAGCTTGACATGTTTATGGTTTGCCTCCTTCTTCTAGGGTTCCTATCCAAGGCTGAGACATCCGGCGCCGCCCCTGGCGCGCTCCGCGCGCCAGGGAGGGGTCCAAGCGCCGATCCAAGAAGTCCGCGCGGCCCTCCGAAAGTTTATGCTGATGCCATTTTGTTTTCATTCCTCCAGGAGCTGGAGCTCGCGGATATGTGCTTCAGCACCTGCGGGTCCCGACTGTACGTGATGTCGAAGGCGACGTCGAAGCGCCTGAGCGTCTTCTCCACGGAGCGGGGCGAGAAGCTGAAGGGCTGCGACTTGAAGCTCCCCATGCGCTTCGACAAGATCTCCGTCTACCCCGGCCACAAGGACCCCGGCGGCGCGCAGGAGGGGGTGGTGGAGCGATGCAGGGCGGCATTCTCAGAGGGCTGCCCAGACATGCGGCATTTATATATATATATATATATATATATATATATATATATATATATATATATATATAGGTATAAATGTATATGCGTGTAACTTCAATATTTTCAATACGTGGCGCCTGGAAATCCCGACCCATTCCCCAGAACCGTTCTTGATCCCGAGTAGTTGTTTAGCGGTACCGAGGCCCGGCGATGGCTCCCAGGCGCCTCCCTGATTCTTTTTGTTCATTCAGGAGGGGAGAAAACACACAGGCACAATCAATCGACGACTCCCAGGAAAATTTGGGACAAGATGGGAAGTGGGGGGGGAAGACGAGAACCCAGAAAATAGGCGAAAATATGGGGAACCCTGGGAATTGTGTGTTTATTACTTGAGTGTCCCTGGGCGCCCCTATACAGATGCCTTCCCGCCTCCCGGGCAGCCCTCTCGAGGCGGTCCCCGTCGCTTCCAGGAGGCGCCCCGCCCTCTCGAGACGGCCGCCCCCGCGCTGCCCCCCCGCACAGTGGGGGCGCGCATCAAGAGACCATGTTGCGTAATTGAGGGGCGACAGGTGGAGGGTGGAGGGGTGAAGGCAGGTGCACATCTTCTGCACCCGAAGTACCAGGGCCCCCTGGGGCCCCCCAAGGGGCGCAGCATCTGCACGCGCCTTCGCCCCCCGGCACGCCGCCCCCCGGGAAGCAGGCCGTGACGGCGCGGGAGACGACCAAATACAGTGGGGGCGCGCATATCAAGAAGCCATGCGCTCTTCGTCGGGGCATCCTGGGCTTCTGCGCTCCGCGAGCTGCGCGCTGGCTTCCCGCGGCCGTGGAAGAAGCTACTGCGCTCGGGGTGCTCCGGGTTTCCCCTCAGGTGCACCTCTCAGGAGAGGAAAAAGCACACAGACACAATTAATCCTCGATTCCCCAGAAAATATAGGAAAATATGGGAAGTGGGGGGAAGACAGAAACCCAGAAAATATAGGAAAATACGGGGAACATTTTTATTTGTGTGTATTTATTTGCGTGTCCTGGGGCCCCTTCAACCTCGCGCGCGGTTTTTTCTGAGGGCTGGGCTTCCGGCGGGGAGGGTCGTGCGCGGCCGCGCCCGCTCCGTAGTAGTTCCCAGAGCCTCGCCGCCATGACTTGTGGAACTGCGTCGACCCCCGCAGGTCTCGACCCACTCCTCGAAGAGCCTCCTCCTCCTCCTCCTCCTCCTCCTCTTCCTCCCCCCCCTCCTGCTTCTCCTGCTCCTCCTCCTCCTCCTCCTCCTCCTCCTCCTCCTCCTCCTCCTCCTCCTCCCCCCCTCCTCCTCCTCCTCCTCCTCCTTCCTCCTCCTCCTCCTCCTCCTCCTCCTCCTCCTCCTCCTCTCCTCCTCCTCCTCCCTCCTCTCTCCTCCTCTCCTCCTCCTCCTCCTCCTCCTCCTCCTCCTCCTCCTCCTCCTCCTCCTCCTCCTCCTCCTCCTCCTCCTCCTGGCAGAAACATACACGTTCGGAGCTCCGCGCGGATTTTCAGGAATCAGCGCTGGGCCCCCCTGGTGGCGGCTCCGGCGCCGCCCCTGGCACGCTCCGCGCTCCAGGGAGAGGGGTTCAGCGCCGAGTCGAGAAATCCGCGCGGACCTCCGACAGTTTATCCGTAAGGGCTTCGCCCTCTGCCGCCGGCCCCCTCTCTCGGAGAATGGGCCATGGAAGAGCTGAGTCATGAGGCCTTGGCGCTATCGTGAAGCAGTATCGAAACTTCATGCGAAGCCGAGTCGCAATCAGCAGAACCAACTGATCACAAGAGGGGTTACCACACCTGGCGATTGGTAAGACGTGTATGGTTTAAGGGCTTGGTTACCACACCTTGCGATGAAAGGGCCGAGGGAGTTCTCGCAGTTTGGGTTACCACGCCTTGCGATGGATGTGCGTGATGGGTTCGAATTTCAGAAATGTGGCAAATCCCCTGTGTTTTTGGACCCTGACCCCGCGGATCTGCGTGAGGGGTGGCACCGAATTTCAGAAATGTGGCAAATCCCATGTGTTTTTGGACCCTGACCCCGCGGATCTGCGTGAGGGGTGGCACCGAATTTCAGAAATGTGGCAAATCCCATGTGTTTTTGGACCCTGACCCCGCGGATCTGCGTGAGGGGTGGCACCGAATTTCAGAAATGTGGCAAATCCCTGTGTTTTTGGACCCTGACCCCGCGGATCTGCGTGAGGGGTGGCACCGAATTTCAGAAATGTGGCAAATCCCCTGTGTTTTTGGACCCTGACCCCGCGGATCTGCGTGAGGGGTGGCACCGAATTTCAGAAATGTGGCAAATCCCTTGTGTTTTTGGACCCTGACCCCGCGGATCTGCGTGAGGGGTGGCACCGAATTTCAGAAATGTGCAAATCCCATGTGTTTTTGGACCCTGACCCCGCGGATCTGCGTGAGGGGTGGCACCGAATTTCAGAAATGTGGCAAATCCCTTGTGTTTTTGGACCCTGACCCCGCGGATCTGCGTGAGGGGTGGCACCGAATTTCAGAAATGTGGCAAATCCCCTGTGTTTTTGGACCCTGACCCCGCGGATCTGCGTGAGGGGTGGCACCGAATTTCAGAAATGTGGCAAATCGTGTTTTTGGACCCTGACCCTGCGGATCTGCGTGAGGGGTGTCGATTTCGAGCCCCCCCAGCAATTCAGACAACGCGCCCAGGGGACGCTGGAAAATCCTGTTTGGGCCCCCCCCCCCCTCGCGCGGTCAATCAACTAGTTACAGTGACCAGCAAGAAGTCAACTAGTTACAGTAACCAGCAAGAAGCAGAACTGTAACACTGGAAACTAGAAACTACAACTGGTACAGGAAACTGCGAATCACGCGCCTACAGCCTGGTGGCCCCACAAGGGGGCCGGCGGATTTTCATTGCGTTTTGTGTTCGGATCGAAAAAGTGCTCCTTTACTTCCCCGGGGGTTGTTTTCCATCCCTAGTCGTTTCTTGGCGCTCCCCAGGGCCCAGCGAGGGCCCCCCCAAAAAGGCCGAGAACGGCAAACACCGCCCGTGGTGCCGATCCACGACGCGAGGGGGTCTGGGCTGCGCGCGGCCGCACAGGACTTCTTGGCCGTGGTGCGGACTTCCAGCATCCGGCTGGTCACCATCCAGAAGTCGTACCAGACGTACATCGCCAATCTCCACCCCCCGGCCCTGCCTCCAGACGCGGACGCCGCCATCTCGGCCTTCGCCTGGGCGACCAGCGGGCACCTGTTCTTCGCGACCAGGCAGGGCCTGCTCTGCACGATGGAGCTCGACGATGAACAAAATGCGTAAGCATAAACTTTCGACGGCCCGCGCTGGTTTTTCTTCGATCTGCGCGGACCGTCGACAGTTTATATCTACGTTTCTGTAGTTCTTTCGTCCCCAAGGAGTGCAAGACCGGGACCATAGTGCACGTCTGCTCGGTCCAGCAGCCCATTGTGAGCATCGCGGTGACGGCGCAGGGCATCATCACGGCGCACGTCGGCAGCGCAGTGCGCTTCTGGTGCGACCGGCTCGAGTCGCTGGGCACCGAGGCGGTCGGCAGCTTGTCGGGGGCGCCCGCGATCGAGGAGTGCCCCGAGCTGTTCGAGCTGCTCCATTCGGTGGACCTGGAGGCCGCCGCCCAGATGCAGCGGCCCGAGCGGTCGCCCAACGGGCAGATTACGCACCTCCAGGTGATGCCAGACTGGTCTGGCGCCGTGATGATGACCGCCGAGGGGGAGCTCTGGTCGCTGCAGATACCCTTCAAGCCCGCGGGCAGCTTCGGCATGGACGACGCAGAGGAGGAGGCGTCGTTCACTGTAGACGACATGAAGCTGAAGCAGCTGACGTGGTTCCACACGCACGCGGTGACTGACGTCGTCATGCTGGGCGCCAGCGGGCGCCTCTGCGCCAGCGGCGACGAGGGCGGGCGCCTCCGCGTGTGGCAGGTCTCCCGCGGGTCGGACCCCAAGGGCTTCCGCATGCTGACCTTCGCGTCGGCGGTCACGAGCCTCGCCTCGGACGCGACGGGCGAGCTGCTGGTGGTGGGCACGGATTCCGGGTGCGTGCACGTGGTGAGCTGTGGCCAGTGGAAGAGCACGCAGGTGCTCGACACGCTGCGCGTCAGCAGCGCGGGCGTCGCCCGCATCTGCAGCGTGACCTTCGAGGGCAGGTGCATGTGCGTGGCTGCCGTGCTGATGAACCACAAGGTCGCCTTCATGACGGTCCCGTTGGCGGACCCGAAGGTGGTGATGATCGGCCTCACCGACGTCGGCGGCTCGGTCGAGGACGCCTGCTTCCAGGACCTCTCCAACCCTGGCGATCCTTCGGCGCTCAGGCTTCGAGGATGAACAACATTGATGGGCCCATTTTCCACCACCACTACCATGGGTAGGAGAGGGAGGATGAGGAAGAGGAGGAGGAGGAGGAGGAGGAGGAGGAGGAGGAGGAGGAGGAGGAGGGGGAGGAGGAGAAGGAGAAGGAGGAGGAGGAGGGGGAGGAGGAGAGGAGGAGGGAGGGGGAGGAGAGAACGAGGAGGAGGGGGAGGAGAGAGGAGGAGGAGGAGGAGGAGGAGGAGGAGGAGGAGGAGGACCTTCTAATCCTCCCATCTCCCCCGTTCTACACATGGTAGCGGTGGTGGAGAATTTGCCCATCAAACATGGCGCAAGCATGACCTGTCGGAGGCCCGCGCGGATGTCTTGGATCGGCGCTGGACCCCCCCCTTGCGCGGTGAGCGCGCCAGGGGCGGCGCCCGAGGCGCCGACAGGGGGTCTCAGCGCCTGCCCAAGAAATCCGCGAGAACGTTTGGCAGCTTGCGAGTGCTCGGCGGCGCGCAGAGGGGGGTGGGGGGAGGGGGGGGGCTTCTCAGTCTTAGAACCGCCCTTGCCTCTTTGAAGGCACGGGCCTTACCTACAGAGCGCCTTCTAAGAAGCAGCCTCCTTCGAAGAAGCCCTCCCCCCCCCCCTCCACCCCCCTGTCCGCGCCGCCAACTACGACCGCTTATGCATATGTTTTTTGTTCTTTCCTCTTCTGAGGCTGCTGGCCGTCGGCACCAGCAGCGACGGCAGCTCCGGCTGCCTCTGGGCGCTGCGTGCACCCCCCCTGGACCATGAGCCGACCGCCGCGGAGCTGAAGAGGGAGGTCTGTCCGCTGTGGTGCGCGAAGGTGGGCTCAATTGCATCTTCGGGGGGCCTTGCCCATCCTACCGACAGTGGCATTTTGAATTCAAATCTGGTTCTCGAGTTCAAAGACCAGTTCCCGAATTCGAAAGCCTTGTCCGCTGTGGTGCACGAAGGTGGGTTCAATTGCATCTTCGGGGGGCCTTGCCTATCCTACCGATAGTGGCATTTTGAATTCAAATCTGGTTCTTGAGTTCAAAGGCCAGTTCCTGAATTCGAAAACCTTTGTCCGCTGTGGTGCACGAAGGTGGGTTCAATTGCATCTTCGGGGGGCCTTGCCTATCCTGGAGATGGTGGTCTTTTGTGTGTCCGAGGTAGGTTCAAGCGAGCGTTTTTGTTTCCTCCCCGGCGTATCACTCGTTGCCCGGGCCCCCCCCAGGTAACGCGAACGATCGTATGGGGCGGGGAGGCCTGGACCCCACGCCCTGCACGCTAGGGCGTGGACTGTGCTCACGGGCATGGCGTGGTGCTGAAAGGCACGCTTTGGTGCTCACAGGCGTGAGGTGGCGCTCGCAGGCTCACCACCTGTTGCGGTGCCGTGCTCGTAGACATGGCGTGGTGCCGAAAGGCATGTTTCGATGCTCACATGCGTGTTGAGCGTGTTGTGGCGCTTGCAGGCTATTGCGTTGCGCACAATCAGGGCAGGCGGACTCACTGTCAAGGTGCCCTGCTCGGAGGGCGGCGGCTCAGGGGACCGATGTCGAGCAAGAACACGTTGGCGCACGTGGCCCCCAACGGTTATTCGTTTTACTTGATGCGCAGGGCACGCGATGCAACTTGTGCGGTGCTACCAGTGTCGGCACCAGTGCAAGCATTGCATGGGGAGCACGAGCGCCTGAATGCAAGCGTTGTTTTGGAAATTCCACGGTGCTGGAGCTTTCGACCAAATCGTGAGGCTCCTGCTGTTCCTCCTGTTGCTGCTCCTCTTGCTCCTCCTGCTGCACTTCCTCCGCTCCGCATTCCCCTCCCTCAACGAAAGCCGCCAGGACCGTTGAAAGAGGAGAGGAAGAGGACAGGGAGGAGGAGGTGTAGGAGGAGGAGGAGGAGGAGGAGGAGGAGGAGGAGGAGGAGGAGGAGGAGGAGATGAATGACGAGTCCTGGAGGCCTCCGTGGTCTGTGGCGAGCCCCGCAAGGAGGCCTCGCAAGCTACTATTGTGCTCGTTGACACGTTTGGCGTTCTGGTGTGCACAGGCGTCGTGGTGCATGGAGGCATTGTAGCGTGCGTAGGCGCTGCGGTGCACATGGTTGCAGTGGTGTGCACAGGCGCTGTGGTGTACACACGCGCTCTGGTGCACGCAGGCAAGGAGGTGTACGCAGGCGCTGTTGCGCACACGGCAGCTGCAGTTGACACAGGCACTGGTGTACATGGGCGACGTGGTGTTGCGGTGCACGCGGCTGTTGTGGTGTACAGTCGAGGCGTTGACCTAAGGAACCCTAAATAAGGAACGGGGCCCCATTTTTCGATAAGTCAAACTTCGATTTCCGATCGAAAACATAAAAGGGAAACCTGAGGCAAGCTGCGAAACACTTAAGGAACGCGGAGCCCCTCCCCAACCAAAAGGGTTCCTTCTTCAGGGCCCCGGCTGTACGGAGGCACTGCTGTGTGCACAGGCGGCGGTGTGTTGCGCGCAGGCATTGGGCACTGTCGCGTGCGCAGGGACTGGTGGACACGCGCGCGATGGATGCGCCCGGGGCGCAGACGCACCCTGGCGGGTGCACGCCGCGGCCGCTGTTACCGCTACCCTCCCGCCAGGGCTTCCCCCCGAGGGAAGAGAACGCTCACCAACGCGGGTCCTCTTCCACGCGGATTCGACGTGGATTCGACGCGCAGCCGACGTGGACTCCACCCAGATTCGACGCGCTCTGCCTGGATCCGACGCGGGCTCGAGACGGACAGCCGGCGCGAGGTTCCCCGAGGACGCAACGACGTAAGGTGGGCGACGGCGCGGCCGCCGCGGGGATCCCGACGGCAGTGGCGTCCGTGACCGACAAGACCGCGGCCGTGGGCTTCGCAGACGGGGCTATCCGGCTCTACTCCGCGCCGCAGTCCACGGCCGCGCCCTCCGCGAGGCCCGCCCTGCCCGACGGGGAGCCTCTGCCTGCAGCGCTCGGCCTCGGGGGGCCCGATCGCGGGGCCTCGGGGCCGCTGGAGGAGGCGGCTTTTGGGAGGTCGCGCTGGTCCCAGAGAGACGCGGCCCAGCTCCCCAGGGAGCCACGCCGCGAATGAGAGACCCAGGCGTGTGCGACGTCCACCCCGAGGCCGTGATTTTTCCAATACGGGGTCCCCAGAAGTCTCGACCCATTCCCCGGGACCGGTTTCTCATCCTGAGTCGCTTTTTGACGGTCCCGGGGCCCGGCGAGGGCTCCTCGAGGCCGAAACATAAGAAAAGCCTCCGTCTGGATTTTTTCAATGCGTTGGCTCTCTGGGCAGGTCCTGCCCGTGCGGGGCCCCCCGGAAGTCCCGGCCCGTTGCCCCCGGGACAGGCCTCTCCATCCGATCGGCCGCCGCCCCACGACGGCCCCGAGAGGCCCGGCGAGGGCCACGCCGAGGCCGAGGGCGGCCCGAGGCCTCCCTTTCCTGCTTCTGCTCTTGCGGCGCGGCCGCGGCTGCAGAGCGCGAAGGGGCGGCCCCAGGGGTCGGCTGCACGGGAGGAGGGCTCCTCCTCCTCCTTCCTCCTCCTCCTCCTCCTCCTCCTCTCCTCCTCCTCTCCTCCCTCCTCCTCCTCCCCTCCTCCTCCTCCTCCTCCTCCCCTCTCCTCCCCCTCCCCCTCCTCCTCCCCCTCCCCCTCCTCCTCCTCCTCCCCCTCCCTCCTCCTCCTCCTCTCTCCTCCTCCTCCTCCTCCTCCTCCTCCCTTGCCCAAGAACGTGACCGAGGATGAGGCCCAAGTTGGCCAAGTTGCAAGGGGGGCAGACAAAGTGAGAGTGCTCGGTCTCCGCAATTGTGACGTGAAGGTCCTCTCGGCTACCATGAACGCCGCCCTTCGCCCCATCCTTGCACGCGTCGCCCCGCCCTGTCAGAGAGGCTTCGTTCCTGGGAGGAATTTTGGTCTGAACATCTTGGAACTGGACGTATCGAGTCGTCAGCTCTCGTGCACGCCGCATGGCTCTCGGGACCTGCCCATCCTTTATAGCCTGGACTACGGCCAGGCCTTCCCCTCTCTGAACCAGGAGTTCGTGCTGTTTATTCTTGGGGCGCTGCGTCTTCCTGAGGCCATCTTGAAGTTCGTGGGGTTCCTCTATGAGGCCATCGAGGGTGTTGCGGTCTCCATGGGGCTCCGTGTTCACCTGTACTGGGTCCGCAGTGGGATCATTCAGGGGTGTGCCCTCTCTGGCTCTCTTTATGCTATTGCATCGTCCACGTTCTTGTACCACCTCGTGCGCGTGATCGAAGAGACGGGCCGCGGGCTCGTGCGTGCGTGTGCCGACGACATCGGTGGCACGTTGGTGAGCATAGAGGACTTGGCCTGGGTCGCCCTCGTGATGAGGGAGGCGGAGTTGGTCGCGAAGCTTGTTCTGAAGATTCAGAAGTGCCATATTGTGCCTCTGTCAGCCTCATTTAGTCCTGCTCTCGCTTCGGAAGCTCTTGGGAGGCTCTCTCGTACGGTGCCCCACTGGTCCGCCATGAAGATCGTTTCGGAGCTACTGTACCTTGGGATATGGTTGGGGCCCTCTGTGGACTCTATGAAGCCCTGGATCGACCCACTTGCAAAGGCGCGGCTGCGGGCTCGAGCAGTCGGACGAGGCGTCACCCCTGCTAGCCTCTCTTCCATCATCTACAATACTCGTACTGTCAGCACACTCTCTTATGTCAGCCAGTTCTTTTGGATGCCACGAGCCGTCCTCGCATGCGAGCTGGGTGTACTTGCACAGGTCTTTCGTGTTGCGCTGGGCACCTTCCCGCTGAGCGCCTGGGTGCAGATGGACCGCTGGCGTGGCCCGCGGGCCCTGAGCTGGGCTCACCTCAACATGGCGTCCCTGCTGCGGGCGGCCGCCCACACCTTTCCCGAGCACCAGAGGCTGCTGGACGACTTGCGGACCCACGCGTGTGCGCTCGCGGACTCCAGGACGCTTTACATGATCGGCTCTGGTGCCCTATACCCTGGCTTCTGGCGGAGCCCTGCTATTGTGGAGAACCTCGCTCTGGCCTTGGATGGGCCCGCCCCCGCTGAACCGTGGGCATCGCTTCTCCCACGTGCTCGTGAAGCGCTTGTCGGTGCTGCCGAGACCCCTCCTGGTGTCCGCTCCCGTCCCCAGCGAGCTGTCCATCGTGCTCTTCGTGACCTGGCGGCATCTGCCACGCCGCTGCACGTCTTCCTCCGCACGCGGCTGCAGAAGTTCTTCTTTCCACGACACGGTGCTCTCCTCGACCTGATCGACTGGCAGCGAATCTCAGCCACGCTCAATATGTGCCCCTGTTCGTGGGTGTGGGCAGCGCTGAGGACCTGGTGCGATGGCTGGCTTACCTCGTCTCGCATTCTCCACCCCGCTGGCAGGCGCGGCTGCGCCCTTGGGTGTCACAACTGCGCTGACTCGCTTCTTCACTACTCAAGATGCGTGCGGATGCATGCTGCTCTACGTCGTGCCCTCGGGCATGGCTTCCCTCTGGAGCTTGCTGAGAGATGGGGCCTCGTGGCGCCCTCGACGGCCGCCTTCGGCTTCATGGCCGCCGCGGTGAGCATGTACAACACGATCCGTCTGATCCCCGACTGGCCGATCTCAGAGCAGGACGCGCTGAGTGCTGCACTGGCTGGAGTGAGGAGCATGCGGATGGCGACGACTGTTGCCCTGCCTGACGACTCACCGATGCAATGGAGCGTCCGCTTTATGACGAGACGAGCTCGGCGCCCGTCCTCCTCCTCTTCGTCTTCTTCCTCGTCTACATCCTCGACATCCTGTACCGACGTGACTGACACAGACACGTCCAGTGGTCCTGGCATGACGCCAGCGGTGATCGACGAGCTGCGGGACTCCGACACGGACGTGGGCGATCTGGTGTCATTCGACTTCTCCCCATGTACTCCTCTCCCGACGCCTGGGACTCCATTGCCGACTGTGGCCACCCCTCAACACGCTGGCCGCTCGCATGACCTGTACGATTGCGACTGGGAGGGACCGACTCCCATCGAAGTCAGAACGCAAAGTCCTGTCAGCGGGTGCTCCTCGAACCCAGCTGTTCAGGCTCAGCGAGTATGTTGCGAGGAGGGGTCTCGCCTTTCTGCCGAGCTCAGAACGCAAAGTCCTGACGGCGGGTGCTCCTCGAACCCGCCGCTTCAGGCTCTTAGAGTATGTTGCGAGGGTCTCTCTGCTGGGCGGTGCTCGGCTCCTCCCACGTGCTCCCCTTCAGCGGATATGGTCAGAACGCAAAGCTCAGCTCTTGGGTGCTCCTCGAACCCTGAGCCACGAGTTATCACAACTTGTGGGGATGACACTGTGGCGCCTCTTGCTTCGCGAGTTGCCAGATTCTCTCCTCGCGGCTGGATCTGGTCGACGACTCCGTGGGGCACGTCGCCATGCTCTCAGATGCGGGCTCCCTCGACCCTGATGGCTACCCCTTCGGCGCCGACCACCACGGGCGCTCCTCGGATGGCGGCTCTCTCCTCACGGGTTGCCACGAGCCGCGCGTCCTCGGCCACTCCGCGGTCTCAGAGGCTATGGCCTTCCTCTCCGCGTCCCGCGTCATGGTCCCCCTCCCGCCCTGACTCCCCGCCTGGAAAATTCCAGTCCAGCGTGCCCGCTTCTCCCGTTCCCGGTGCCCTGTGCCCCTCTCCCCACGCCTTCGCGTCACCCCGCCTCTCTGTTCCGTCCTTTGCTGCTCACCCCACGTCGCCGCACGGTGCCCCTCACTCTAATCCTTTAGTCCCCCCTCCTGGTCCTTCGCTCGCGAGATCTGCTGCTGCTGTTGCTTGCCCCCCGCCTTCTCACCCGCCTCTCATCGCGACGTTCACCGTCCCTGTCCAGCTGCCTGGTCGCTCGAATTATGTTCTTTTCCCGTCCACAGCTTCCAGCTCATCATCTGCCGTCGCACCCAGCCCCCCGCCATATATAAATGCGGCTGCGCTGGGCACCATCTTCAACTCGACGCTGAGCGCGGAGGACGCACCTGGCGCCCCGCCGCCCGCGTCCCTGCCCCCGCCGCCGTAGGTGGGAGGAGACGCGGCCCCCCCTACGCTCGTCTCCTCCTCCTCCTCCTCCTCCTCCTCCTCCTCCTCCGGCGGAGGGGCCCTCCGCCGGAGCAGCCCTCCGAGGTACGTTACCAGCCTGGAACATATCCCTGTCCCTCTGCTGGGCACCTCCTCATCACGATGCCAACCTCAGGGGTTCCCTTGTTTTTTGAGGCCGAATTCTTAAGATTGTCGTTGCCTTTTGGCGTGTCAATCTCAGGGATAGGGATACGTTCGAGGCTGGTAAGTACAGGGCTTCCGGCGCGGGCGCCGGGGGGGGGGGGCGCTGCTGCCGCGGCGCGCGCGGCGGCCGGCACGCCGCGCATATCAGGGGTCTCCAGGCGCGATCGCGTCGTCGAGCAAGACAGCAGGACGGACGCAGATCGCGGCGTAGGAAACGCCGCGCCAGGACGGACGTAGGTCGCGTGAAGACAATCATCGCGCATCAGAGGTCTCCAGGCACGATCGCGTCGTCGGCAGAACTCCGGACGGGAGGCTTTTTGGCCGTGTTCGGCCTCGAGGAGCCCTCGCTGGGCCTCAGGACCGTCAACGAAAGGACTCAGGATGAAAAACTGGTCCCGGGGAAAGGGTCGGGGCTTCCAGGGACCCCGCATGGTCAAATCCTGGACGTGTCGCATTCTTGTGTCTCTCTCGCCTACAGTCAGAACTCATAGCAAGGACGCACGGATGTCCTGAGGGTGCCCTTGCGTCCTTGCCTTTGCGGCCCGTGCTTCGCGGTTTTCCCTGGTCAGCCCTTCGGGGTGTTGGCAGTCCGCCGCCCAGAAAGTGCCAACTTCGGCGTCCAAGGCCCTTGCGTCCTTACCGCTCGTCCTTACTATACATTTCGACTGTAGGGTCACTCTTGCGTGTAGCCGAGAGGCTGTCGGTGGCGCAGGAGGATGAGGAGTTCCCCTGTCACGAGCAACTCGTCAGCCGCCTCCGCCTCACGGCGGACGGCGCCACGCTGGTCTCCGCGTCCATGGACGGCACCGTTAGGCACACCGCCATGCAGACGCAGAAGGCCCACCGTCAAAACATCCTGAGGTCCAGGCGCTGCAAGTTTTTCGCACTGGGCGTTTGCGCCCAGCTTAGGGCCCCAGGACCACCACGGATCGATCCCGCTCGAAAAAAATTGAGCAGGAAGATGTGGTCTGGGGCGCCTCCAGCCATGATTTTCCGCGATGTGGCATTTTTTCCGCAGCGTCGGATCCCAGAGTATGTCCACATCCACCGCTGTGGAGTCGTGCTCTGGGACCCCCAGGAGTCGTGGATGTGGACATTCTCGTTCCTTTGGACATGGCAGATATAAAATCCGCCAATCCCGGATGCGCCCAGCCACAACCCCAGCGTGGGTTCGAAGAGAATTTGCATAAGCATGCACTTTCAGAGGTCCGCGCGGAGTTCTTGGACCTTCGCTGGAGCCCCCTCTCTGGCGCGCGGAGCGCGCCAGGGGACGGCGCCTGAGGCGCCGCCATGGGAACCAACGCTGATCCGGGAAATCCGCGAAGACTTCTGAACGTCTGTGTTTGTGTTTTTTTTTATTGTTTTTTTTTTTAATTGTTTTGTTTACTGTTCGCTCACGTACATGGCGTTCCTTTGCAAGACCTACGGCTTCGGCACTGCCTGTCTCTGGGGCTTTGCCTCCCCTCGGCCTCGCCCTGAGGCCCCGCCGCTTTCTCCTCCCCTCCCTCCGCCTAATTCAAGCCTCGCGCGGCCCGCTTAGCTTCGACCGGAAGAGGTGCGCTTAGCTTCGACCGAAATCGTGTTTTTCTATTGTTCCTCTCAAGGTGGAGCTCCAGAGAGTGGTGCATGCCTCACAGGCTCCGCAGGCCCCACGGGCCCCACGGGCCCCACCCTTTCCCACGGGCCCCGCGGGCCGCACAGGCTCCAGCCTTCCCACGGGCCGCCCGGGCCCCCAGACCCCCGGCGCCAACATTTTTGCTCAGCGTCGACCCCCAATCTCGCGGACCCGTCTTGCATCTTGGAAACTGTGAAAGCCGTCCGTCGTGATTTCTGTTGACGGCCAGAGGGGGTCTGGAAAGGTGGAGCTTCGGAGGGTGGTGCACAGCCCCCGACCTCTGCATTTGTTGTCGTTTCTCTTTTTATTGCTCTTCTAGGGTTGCTGGCCGCTGGACCTCTCAAGGGTTTTGGTCAGGTTCCTTCGCGAGGACCTTCGGAAGTTTATGGGTCTGCAGTTTTTTTTCGGTCTGTTCCTACGAATCGGAGGTTTAGACCTCCTACCCTGACACGTCGATTAGCGAATTGGCCGTTGTCGGGTCGCGAGAGGGCGTCGCGGCCGTCACTGTTGCGGGTCCAGGTCCGTCGGTTTCGGTTCTAGGCCGTTTTCACCAAAGAGTGGTTTACTAACGCTTGTTGTCCACCGCCGACTGAGGGTGGAGCGCATCTCGTTTAGTTCATGTTGCCCCCACCCCCCGTCGGGCGCGGCCGCACCGACCCCCGGCAAACATTCCCCTTCCGTGACGCCATCCTCGCTTTTCAAGCTCCCCTCCGGCCGCATACATGCGTCTTGGGGCGAGGCGAGGGGCGAGTCCTGGTTTGATGATCCTCAGGACGTGTGTTAGCCCAATGTGTGCCCCCCTCAGCCCAACCAGTAGACCATTGCATCGCCTGCGTCGCATCGAAGGGCCTCGATGGACAAACACACGTTGGAGCCAGCACACGTTCTGAGGATCATCGATTGGTCTGTTCCCCTCGAAGAAGAAAAAACGGCATAAACATAAACTTTTGGCGCTCCGCACGGATTTCTTGGATCCGCGCTGGGCCCCCAACGGCGGCGCCTCCGGCGCCGCCCCTGGCGCGCTCCGCGCGCCAGGAAGGGGGGTCCGGTGCAGATCCAAGAAGCCCGCGCGCAGCGCCAAAAGTTTATGTGTGTGGGTGTGTGTGTGTGTGTGTGCCGTTTTTCCTCCTCCTCCTCCTACTCCTCCTACTCCTCCATCCTCCTCCTCCTCCTCCTCCTCCTCCTCCTCCTCTCCTCCTCCTCCTCCTCCTCCTCCTCCTCCTCCTCCTCCTCTCTCCTCCTCCTCCTCTCTCCTCCTCCTCCTCCTCCTCCTCCCTCCCTCCTCCCTCCTCCTCCTCCTCCTCCTCCTCCTCCTCCTCCTCTCCTCTCCTCCTCTCCTCCTCTCTCTCCTCCTCCTCCTCGTCCTCCTCGTCCTCCTCCTCGTCCTCCTCCTCCTCCTCCTCCTCCTCCTCCTCCTCCTCCTCCTCTTCCTCCTCCTCCTCCTCTCTGCAGGTGGAGCTCCAGAAGGTGGTGCACAGCCCCTACGACGGTGGCGTCGTGCAGGTCTGCCCGTGGGCCGCCCCGGGCCTCTGCGTCTCCACCGGGGGCGCGGACGGCCTCGCCCTGTGGGGCGCGCCGGGCTCCACGTGGCGGCCGCCGCCGGAGGACGCGGACGCGGACGAGGAGATGCCGCCGATTTCGACGGAGATCGACGACATGGACATGGAGGCGTGCCCAGACCCCCGACGGTGCGGATGCGTGCGGACGCTTCTGGGCGTCCTCGTCGGCTCTCGGACGTCTGCCAGCCTCGGGATGCCTCTCAGCGGCTGCGCCTTGTCGAGAGCGTTTCGGGGGCGCCCGGATCATCCCAAACGGCCGCCGGAGGGCCGATTTACACCCCGAACACCGACCAGGCGGTTTTGTCAACCGACGACATGGACATGGAGTCGTTTCCAGATCCCTGGCGACGTGCCCTGACTTTGGATCCGCCGTGCGTTGTTTGATTTTCAGACTTGAGATTGTGTCGAGAACGGGCCCTGAACGATGCGAAAAAGTCGGGTGGAACTGTCGGTCTCGTAAGAAGTAGGGCGGATGTCCCCGCAAAGGTACAGCGGAAACATCAACATATGGCGGAAATCGGCATCAAAGGATTTTGCAAAGCAGGAGGACCTGTCCCTCTACAGGGGTAATGTTCAAAATGGTAAAAAATAGTCCAGGGATGATTTTTTTGTTAAAAACCGATGCTTCAATTTGTTTTAGCTTTTGTATGTTGTTTGTATGTTGTTTTTGTGTGTTCTTTTTGTTGTTGTTTGTTTACTGTGTTTTACACCTGTTCGCCCAGAATCCCTTTGTATGGGGGGAAGGCCCGACCGAACCTCACTGGCGAAATCGCCCACAAGCACGGCGGATCCGAAATCACGGGATGTATTTGTTCCACCAGCTGTTCAGCAGGAGGAGGAGGAGGAGGAGGAGGAGGAGGAGGAGGAGGAGGGAGGAGGAGGGAGGAGGAGGAGGAGGAGGAGGTTTTCTCCACGTCGGCAAGCGGGGGCCGTTCTCGGGCAAGGGGGCCCTCAGGGATGGGCGCGGGACGGAGGAGACCGTCCCCGGGGAGAGCGGTCGGAGCGACGGCGGCTGTGGACGGTGAGGAGCTCATCGGCGGACGCCAGCCAGCGTGGGCCCCAAGCAGTGCGATTCTACAGCAACATCTGTGGTGCAATATATATATATATATATATATATATATATATACATGTATGTATGTATGTATGTTTTTTATATATATATATCTGTGATGCAGGCT